TTTGACAATACATTTCCGACAACATGTACGTACGTCCGCACGTACTTTGTTACACATCGTTTTGCCAAATCTATTAACACACTTTCGACTGCCCTCCTCATACATTCAGTCAACAAACAAGTTTTATGTGCCGGTACATGTTTGACTGTTGCGACTTCCCCAAGTTCGATGTTGGTTCGATTGGTTTGTTCATTCGCCTGTTGTGTGTGGTTCGATGGGGTGTTCTTTCGTCTGTTGTTGTTATCACATCTCGTGCTGTCGGTCGGTTGGTTGTCGTAAATTGTTTTGGTTTGGTATGCATTTGTGTGGCGGCTCTGTTTCGTGTGTAAAACGTTTTAGTTTAACAGTTCATGCCGATGAGTCAAGGTCGAGAGACCGTAGTAGTATACAACGTCACGTAACGTCAGCGAATTATAATTTTTTGCTGCTGCTACTACTAGTTGTTGTTGGAGATGTTTGCCTTTATGTTTTTGGTATTTTTATGAAAAATAGAAGGAAGACTCATACAGAAAAAATTTCGTTTTCAATTCTCACCGATGGTGGCGGTGATGATGAGGTTGGTGATGATGATGAGGTTGGCGATGATATTCGGGCAAGTGAATGCATACGTGAGTGCTTGATAGGTGTGTGTGTGTATGGTTGTGTGTTCGTATGTTTGTTGGGGCTGTGTGTATGGTTTTACTCGCCCATATATGAAGACGACGGAGTAATTTGTGTTATGTTTGCACAGATAACGATACGGCAAACGACGACTACGACGATGATGATGGACGGACGGACGCCAAAGCAAACCAACAAATAATGAACGACTGAATTAAACGAAAACTTTTGTACATATTTTTAGTTACGGGAATGGAATATTTTTAGAATTTTTTCGTTGATTTGTTTTCGTTTTGCTGCTGCTGTTTACACAAAGAATTCAAACAACACACAATAAAAACTAGTTGTTGTTTTTTTCTTTTTGTTGATTTTTGTGATAAAGTGAAATACAGACATACCCATACATACACTGGGAGAGATTTTCTTTGTAAAGTGTAATTTCTTTTTAATTGAATATCGGAGAAATGGTGGAAGGTGTTTTGAGTTGACAGTGGTAGATTTCACCATCAAAGTAATTTCCTCTGCGAGACTCTAGAAAAATAGGGAACCTATTTAATCACTAAAAATACAAACAATTAAAGACAAATTCAAACTTTTTTCTTTGTATTAGTGGATCTATGATCTTTTTTAAAAATGAAGTGGACCCGCATCTTGTCCTTCTTTTGTATAGGAATCCTAAAACTAAGGGCTTCTTGATATTAAAAATTGTAGTCTTAAATTTTTTGTTTAAATTTTCTTAAAGTGAAGAAAAGGTCTCTCCAATAAGAACATAACTTAAAGAGGTCTTCCAACATCATTAACACATTATATATTAGGGAATTGTTGCTAAAGCTTTTAAAGCATTGTCTGATATTATTATTAATTTCAAACCGAAGATGGAGATTCTTTATTTAAAACATAAAAAGGTCAGCATAGGAATTCCCTAAACTTTATTTTCCATTCCCGACAAAACTCGGTAATTTCCAATCGTAAAATATTCCTAGGACGAGAGCCCCACCGAAATGGCAATTTTACAATATTTTTTTATATTTTATACGAAAGTTAATTATTTGCTTGTTGGGCGCCATTCCCGTTATACTTTTCCAATACATTTCTCCGTATATCCCTGGACCTTTTTTATATCAAAGAAAACTTTAATGACACAACAAGGATTTGAAATACTTAAGGAGGATAACAAAAACTGAAAAATGTTAAGAAGACTCAAAAAGTTAAGTGGACTCATTCAAATCTAGATGAACAAATAAAAGAATCAAAGAAGACACAAATCACTAGAATTTTCTAATGACTTCACAACCGATGGTTAATTGAGGACAGTAATTATCAAATGCTTAACAAGTTTGTAATTAAAAACCAGTAAAGAAAGTCTTAAAGTCGGGCGGGGCCGACTTTATGATACTCAACACCACTTTGCTAATTTAGTAGGGCTTCGCATAACAATTAAAAGTTTTTATGAGAGAATTCAATCATACACGCTATGATTATATTTATAATTTAAAGTTCAAAGGACTAAAAATATGCCGAAGCAATTGTATCTTTTAAATTCGGACTTGTATTGCCCATTTGGTGCACAATTAATATGAAATCGAATAAAGATATTATATATGGGAGCTATATCCAAATCGGAACCGATCTCGATAAAATTTGGCAAAGATATTTCTGAGCTGTATTTGATATATTGCCACAAATATCGTTGTTACGGAGTGCATATTACTGCTGTGGGTAACAAATATAACAATGAACATTATATATGGGAGCTATAGCTATATCTGAACCGATCTTCACCAAATTTGACATACTAGCTTCTAGACTTAATTCGGTTGTAAGTGCCAAATTCCATCCTATTTGGACAAATATTAGACGATTGGTGCACAATAAAAAGTAAACCGTAAATTTAGCAAATGTATTTCTGAGTTGTATTTGATATATTTCCCCAAATATCGTTGTCACAGAGTGCATAATACGGCTGCAGAGGACAAAAATAACAAATCGGATGAACAATATATATGGGAGCTATAGCTATATCTGAACCGATACTTATTTTCAGACCTAATTTGGTTGTATGTGCAAAATTCCATACTATTCGGGCTGATATTACACGTTTGGTGCACAATAAAAGGCAAATCGGACGAAGATATATGTGGGAGCTATATCTAAATTTTGACCGATTATCTCCGATTTCAACAGGGTTCATCGTTGGGCCAAACAATGCTGTTAAACTTTTCAAAAACAATAAAGTGGGTGAGGCCGTTGTATGGGGCCATACAAAAAAACGGGAATCTCCATAGACAATTTTATACTTCAAAGATCTACCGAATCTTCTTAAATACCAAATTTGAAACAATTTCGTGGGTAAATGTGACTGAGACTACCAAAATGCCGAATATCGGTGGATATCGTTATATCTGCGCTATAGGAAAACGTGGACCTAAATATTCAATGTTCTGCCGCCGGAACTAGAACCCCTAATGAACTATAAATACCAAATTTTACACAAATCCGTGGAAAAATATAGCCAAAATCATCGAAGTACTAAACATCAGGATGTGCCATTATGTGGGGCCTATACACACTATGTATCACCATAGAATCTAGAACCCATTTCGGACTACAAATACCAATTTTTGGACAAATCCGTGGAAAAATATGGCAAATATCATCAAAATACCGAATATTTGGAGGTACCGTTGTATGGGGGCTACACAAAAACGTGGACCCATACAACCTACCGGAGGTAGAACCCATTATGACAAATACAATTTTTAGGCAAATCCGTGGGAATATTGGCAAAAATCATGAAAATACCTATGTTATATGACGGCTATACCAAAACGAGGACTGATACATCTCATTTTCAATTAAAACCATCCAAGACACACTACAAATTGTTCTGCAAATAATGTGGGCTGTATCGTGATTTCAACAGACAATAATCCAACTTTTTAAAAACAAAAGGCTAGTTCTTAGGAACCCCATTATTTTGTCACTATTTCACAATTTTCGTAATTTTTTTAGTTTTCTTCAAGAATATTCATCTTTACATCACATTCCAATTTTCCTCACAAATGACAATCTTCTTCTCAAACACGTATTTTGGCCCCTCAAACTACAACTTCCATTTGTTCCGTTTAGAACAAAAATAAAAGAGGAAAGAAAAATGGCTTTCTAACAAAAAACAAAAAACATTTACATTTCCCTTCACAACGATAAAACGACATTTAAAGATGGAACCCAAACCATTTCTCCACAACCTTACGTCTTACATGGCAACAAAAGTTGAAATGTGGATATTACACCACGACCAATAACAACAACAACAAACTAGTGATATAGGTGGGTAACCACTTGAATAAAGAAATTTCTATTTAAAAAATGCAAAACTATATTTTCAGCAAAGTAGTCAGCTAGCTATTCGCAAGCGTTGCTATTTTTTAATCATGTTAAAGTAAAGGTTTTTTCGGTTTGCATGTGTTTGTACAATAAAATATTATTTACAACAACAACGAAAGCAAATCTGATGAGTCGTAGTCCGTCTATCGGCAGTTAGTTGGTTGGGTTACACGATTATTTTTTTTTCTTTTTTTGGTTTTCCATTTGATTGTATGTAGGTAGAGGTATATGCATACAAAGTTATCTATCTATATACCAAAGTATATAACTACAATAAGTATATATTTTTTTCTCTGTTTTCTTATTGCCTTTGAGAAATTGTTTCGTATCTCTGTTTGCTTGTTTTATCTATCTTTTTGCGTTTGCTCTAATTTTTTTCCTTGTTAAATTTACATTATCATAATGAAACGACACAACAACAACAAGACATACTAATATTGTTTTTCTTTGTTTTTATTTTGTGTGTGCCTCTCTCTCTGCCTCTCTTTCTACCTAGTCTAATGCATTCTCATCGTGGAATAATTTCGTTGTTTCTCGTGTTTTCTTTACTTCTCCAGGCAGAGAAAGGGAGTAGACGTGTATTGTGTGTTTGTTTTCTTGTCATTTTCATGAATAAAAGAAAAGGAAAAAATATATAATGTGTCATAATAATATTGTTGTTGGTGTAAAAATGCAATTTTCTTTTCCTTTCTTTTTGTCTGCGATGTGGAGCCCAACAACGAGCAAAAAAAAAAAAAGGGAGTAGAGAAACGCACGTGCTACCAATTTATACAACACTGGAGAGTAAAAAAGGAAACAATATTTATTGGTCTCAGTGGTTCTCTGGCATTCTCAAGGGGTCTCAGAGACACGACCAGTGAGCTTGAGAGTATATTGAGAGAGTTGAGAAAAAAATTACGATTGTTTACAAATTTTGTTGTTATTGCATTTGTAGTGTTGCAATTTTATCGTCAAATAACATTTTGCAGTTTTGTTTGTTGTCTTTTCTTCTTTCTTTCTTTTTGGGTACTTACTCTTTGCTGAACATAAAGATTTTGTTGTTGCTGGTGATGCTGATGCTGCTGATGCTGCTGCTGATGATGATGATTATGGTGTTGCTTTCTATTCCGTTTGGTGGTTGTGGTGGCAGCAGCACTAGTAATGCCACTGTTTGTTGCAGTTGTTGTTAGGGGATTAATATAATTGACATTTGCCGTTGTTGTTGCTGTTATTAAACCGGCAGCAGCTGCTGCAGCTGTGAAATCTGTTGTTGATCTCTTGCGAGTCCGTTTACTTGTTGTAGTTCTTGTATTGTTATTTGTTGTTAAACTTTTACTAGATACTGTGCTCGAGTTGGCTCCGGCTGTTGTTGTTGTTGCTTGTATAACAACCATAGGATTTGTTGTTTGGTATTTGGTAAAATTTCGATGTGCTGAACTTTCTGTTATTGTTGAAGTCTCAATTAGCGACATTGGCAAAGTGAGAGACATCGGTGTTTTTTTCGTTCTTTTGTTGGAGAGAAACACAACAAACACGCACACACAACACACAGAGCACAGACGAGAAGAGCGTTAACAGTTTTCTCTCTCTCTCTCACTCACAAAAAACTAACACTTTATTCTGGCACACTCGCGTAGGTTCTCTGGCTCTTCTGTTATAGACCGAGAGACAAGCAGAGAGCACTGTTATGTTTGGTTTTTCTTCGGGGTTACACTTTTGTTTTGTTTTGCCTTTTTATTTGAAATGCATTTTTCTCCGAGTGTTTTGTTGTTGCTTTTGCTGTAAACACCACTACGTTGCTTGTTGGGTTCTGTTTATTTGATGCTGCTGTTAAGTGTATGAGTATTTTCAGAGTGTGCTGATGCCGTTGTTGTTGTTGTTGTTATTTTTTTCTTTTTGTTGTGGGGAGAGAGCGGCGAGCGCACATAGAGACGAGCACACCACAATGATGTTGGATTAAAAACAGCTGTTTTTCGACGACCGGCTTTATTGACAGCTGCTAATAATGCTCGGCTATGGCTACGGCTGCTGCTGCTGTTGGCACCACCACTGCTGTTATGTTGCCTTCTGGTCGTTTTTAAAGCTGTTGTTGTTGTTGTCGTTGTCGTTGTTTTTGTTCTTGTTTTTTGTTGATACATACAAACGACCGCAACGACGACGTTCATTTGGTTTGCTTTTGCTGCTCTATGTACAAAATTATATACATATGTAGGTATGTATTTTTTTATATATATGAAAAAAACACAACTTTTTTTATATACTTATGATGATGTGCCTATGTACATGTGTGTGTATTGTATTCACCATATACTGCACTATGTTAATTTGTTTATTTCTTATTATTTTTCTGCTTCTTTCGCGTTTCTTTTCACATTTGTATGTACTACAACTGGGTATGTTGTTTGTATGTACTACTATACTCGGCACTAAAATTAAATTGATTTTCTTTTATTATTAGATGGCGATAATTATGATGATGATGATAAGCAGAGAGGGAGACAATGATTGGTTGTTTGGTTGGTGCGGAGGAATAAAAATACTATATGACTGACACAATAACAACAAAAATAAATTAAATTTCAATAAATCCAAGTGTGATTGACAACGGGTGACAATAACAATAATAATAATTTGTTATTGCAGCAGCTAGTTGTTGTCGTTGTTATTCTTGTTGTGATGACAACAACCACATTCGATGATGATGATGACGAAGTTTTTTGATTTGAATTTCTAAGGCTTTTGTCTGGCATTTGCATTATTATTTGCATAAAACAAATTTGATGGTAGAATGGTGGATATCAAAAATATTCGGTATTTTTTTGTATTTAAAGTGCAATTCACTATTCACTTTAATTGCATATTTTTTTTCCTTTGTTTATCTATTTATTTTTTGAATAACATTTTTAAAATTGTTTCACAAAAAATATTTTTTCTTTTCAAAAATTACTTCTTCACCGTTGAATAGCTAGGTATTTGCTTTTATTTGAACAATTTTGCACAATTTTGATTTGCTTTATATTATTCTCTTCGTTTTTTTTTCTCATAGAGATAGACGGTGCGCGACGTTCGGTGTGTTTCTTTGTATTGTGTGTAGTAGTAATGATATAGTATCACACAACACACAATAATTGGGAGCACACAAAAACCAGCAAGCAGAAGAAGAAGCAGAAGAAGAAATACAACACTCGAAAATTAAAAACACGTCACGTTTGTAAGTCGGAACATTTAGCACTGTTGTTGTGTGGTTGTAGTTGCTGTTAAGTCAGTGCCTTAGACACCGTAACCAACAGCAGCAGCTAGCTGCTAGCCAGCCATCAACAAAACAATCAAACAAACGAACACACATACACACACATGAGGAGGAGCAGCGAACCAACCAACAAACATACACACAACATTCGTTGTTGTTGTTGTTGCTGTGGTCGCAACAGTATTCCCTCGTCTGTTGGTCGTCATCGTCGAACACCAACAGCAGCAGCAACAACAAAAGGAATATCACCAAACATCAGTTGTGGAATCATACACTCACTGTAACTGTGAGTGCGAGTGTGTGTGGAAAAAGGAGAGCTCGTTGGCTGTTATTATTATTGCTTTGTAGTTTTATTTTTTTTTTTTGCTCTTAAAGGTAATAAAGTCCGCATACAAAACCCCCAAAAAGCCCGACGACTACAAATGGCAAATAACAGAAGCAAACCAAATATAATACACTTTAATAATTGATGTTGGATGGTGGTTGTCGTTTGGTTGGTTTGCTTGTCGGTTCGTTTTTGTTGGCTGGCTGACTGGCTAGCTTGACTGACTGATTTCGCTGAGCCTTCTCAATCTATAATCCTCTCCTTTGCTATGTTTATCTTCGGTAGTGTGTCGTGTCTGTATGTAGGCAATGTCGCATGATTAAGTAGATACGAGGTGTGATCAAACAAGTTAAATAGTTCTGCTAAAAACCAACTTTCAATAACCTCCACCAATATTCTTCTCGTGCAAAATATCATTTCTATGACTTTAGGCTTAAATTTCAGTATGTGTATCAGCAAACACTATTATTAAGGAGTGTAAATTGCGGATGTGAGGGGCTTAAATACTAAATCGGATAAAACATATATATTGTAGCTATATGTGTTTTATCCTACTTGACCTATTTTCACCCCAATGTAACATACTTTCTTAACTGAATTTGGTCGTATGTATCAAAAATACTTTCAATTTGATCTGATATTACACATCTGCTGGAAAATAAACGTAAAATCGGATAAAGATATATATGGGAGCTACATCCAAATCTGAAGCAATCTTTAAGAAGTTTAGCAGATGTATTTCAGGGATGTATCTGATATTTGGTTCCAAATATCATTGTTGTGGAGTGCTAGGTACTTTAATGCCAAATCGGTTGAAACATGTATATGAGAGTTATAGCTATATTTGACTCGAGTGTCACAAAATTTTCCATACTTGCTTCTTGGATCAATTTGGTCGCATTTGCGCACTTTCATCCTATTTGGGTAGTTATTACAAATTTGGTGTACAAAAAATGACAAATCGGACGAAGATATACATGACAGCTATATCTAAATTTTGTTCGATTATTATGCATTTCATTAGGTTTCATTTTCAATAGGTTCCTTTCGATCGGACACTAAATGCGACCTGTTTACAAAAATACATGGATGGACATGTGGACATGCAAAAATCGTCTCAGAGTGAGAAAATATGGAGATCATCAAAAGGAATTATGGCTCTATCTCGCTTCCTTCTCCTTGTTCTAAAAAAAAAATTGCACAACGACATGATATCCTGTGACAAAGTGGGGTATGGCAAAAAAAAAATCCGCTATAATTATTAAAATTACGAATATCGTATGATACAGTCAAATGAGGGCTATACGAAGCCATGGACCTGTATATGCTATCTGCCAGAGATGGAGGACATTCAAAGAGCCGGATCTGTTTTATTTCAATTTCAGTCTTATGAAGTGGGGTACCCATTACCAATTCCAAATGTCATATAAGACAAATTTCTGCTGAAAATGTAGATAAAATCGGCAAAATACCGAAATATCTAAGGTACCATTCCACGAAGGTGTCACCCTGTTTTTGTAATTTGCAGTTATTGGAAGTCGTACTCCATTACGAACTCGAAATACCAAATTTAATACAATTCTATCAATTCATGTGACATAAATCATCAAAATACCGAAAAAATCGTTAAGAATAATTATATGGGTGCTATACGAAAATTCGGATCCATATAGATAATGTTCCAACAGAGAAGATAATTCTTATTGCTAACACCAAATACCAACTTTGTAATAATTGCGGTAAACAATTTCATTAAAATGTCGAATAATAGCATGTGCTGGTATATGGAGGCTATACGAAGACGTAGGCCTGTATAACCAATAGTCTATCATAAGCGGTGGTATCCATTAAGAACTCCAAATGCCAAATTTTAAACCATTTCGGTAAATAGTGTAACAAAAATCATCAAAAACCCGGATATCTCCAGGTACAGTTATATGGGGTCCATACCAAAACTAGGACCTATATGGACAGTTATCGGTAAGAATGTTGCTACATACAGGGAAACACAAACTGTCAATTTACGGCCAAATTCGGTTTAAAATTTTGACTACACACCAACCAACACACCTGACACATGACGGTACAGTTATATGAAGCCTATAACTAAACTGAGCCCATATTCAATAGCAAAAATTCTACGAAGGCTGAATTTTTACCCATTATCTTTTTGGCAACTCCGAAACCAACACTCGCAGGTTTCGTGTATTGCTTCACTGTTTTTAAAATAGGTGCTCTGTTAGGAAAGTTGATCGTGTGCTTCTTCCACTTTATGATCTGCCCATATCACAGAGATTCATTTGCCTATTTGAAATGATTTTATTTACTTTATTTTACCATGGAAATAATTTTCAGACATTAAATTAGATTTTTTAATTCTAACAAATTCTAATAAAGATTTCAAGCAGTTTTCGGAATTTTATGTGTTCTTTCCCATCCTGAAAACCTTTTCTATAGCTCTTAAAAAATCACCCTTTGCACCGGAGTAAAATTTATCAAAGCGAACATATGTAACCACACGAAATTCGATCATACCTCGTATGAACCCAGGTTTGTTGTCGAATGTCGTGGTCGTAAGCGTATGTTCATACATTCCATATTCCAACATGCAACATAAAAACACAGCGACAGAATGTCAGTTAAATTTATGTTAAGTATATATTTATGTTGATGTAGGTGTGTGTATGTTTGTCGCGATGTCTGTCGAGTCCGTCTGTCTGTCTGCCAGTCAATCGGTCGCTTAGTTCTTGTTTGATTACACACAGCAAATAATTGTGGATTCGTTTTTAATTTTGTTATTTTCGACCTTCTTCCTTCCTTTGTTGTGTAGAGCCTTAATTTTTTTTTTGCGAGGACATGTGTTACCTAGTAAATGATAGGCCTAACAGTGCTGGACAAAAGTTGACACAGTAAAAATTGATTAAGGGCAAATAAAAAATTTCGAGTGTGAGTTTTGGGATCTCATTTGAAGTAAATCCCGATACATGAAATTTGGAATAATTTTAAAGCAAAATATTAAAAAAGTATAAGTAAAAATTTTAAAAATGGGTTATATTTTGTAGCAATTCTCGATTTTGTTTACGGAGCCGTTCCAAAACGTGGATCTATATTTATTTTTTTTTTGTCAGTAGGCTTTCTACATAATAATAGCTCAGAATACCAATATTTGGTGAAATGTAAATATATGACTAAAATTAAAAAAAAATTCTTGATATCGGGATTACCCTTTTATAAAATCTATACCAATAGGGGACTGTCATGTCCCAATGAAGTAATCCAAAGCTAAAATATCGAAGCTCTATAATAAATGTTGAGAAATAAATATCGAAATTTTGAGGTCTCTCTGTGTGTGGCTAAGGCAATATAAAGACCTTAGAGAAAAGTTTAACCTAAGAACTCGGTTTTGATCTACAATCGAAATATTATAAAATCCACTTGGAACTTTCGACAACCCAGACTGGCTATTGAACAGTAAACTTATAAGAAAACTTGCATCAAATTGGGAAAAAGCGCAACATTTGTAAAAAAAATAAAAAATGGATGAAAGTTTTTCATGGTACATATTAAGTAAGCAAACTTCTTTTATTCAGAGACTCATAATGAAATTTGATGTAGAACATTTCTTCCTTTGACACACTCGCCAAAATATGAAGTATTAAGGGTGATTTCGACGTAGATTGAAAATATGTTAAATTTGCAGTAAAAACAGTAAACACACAATTTTCACTCGCAGTATATAAAGTCCGCATGTAATTTGCTCTAAAACTATTGCACCTAGACGTTTCATATATTCTGAGATTTATAGTGAAATGTTATGTAGAATATTTCTTCTTTTGGCAGTTTCTGTCTAAGACGTAATCTAGTGTTACTTTCAGGTATCAATTAAAAAAAGGCCGAATGGAGATAGTTTAACAAAATTAGGAAATATTTTGGCGTTTTTTTTTCGCAACATTGATGTCAATATTTTCTCAATTCGTAATGGAAATAGTGTTTTCTTTTCATTGGTGACTTATAGTGAAATTTGATGAAGAGTATTCTTGTCATTGACGTCATCGATCTAAAATAATGCTTTGTAGGAGAATCCGCTATAAACTCATATCAAGTACGTCCTTAACCCTAAAATGCGTTTTTAATATTTATGAGTTTCTGACGTTTAAGTAAGATTTAGATTTTTCATATCTTCTGAGACCTATAGTAGAATTTTATGACAAATAATGCTGTAGAATATTTTGACCAGCAATGATCCCATTTAAGGGGAGTTTATAACCATATTCTGCAAAAAAGCACCAAAAATACCCCTTTGTTGACTCGCTTGAGGGTTAAAATTGTTTACCAAAATATTCCTTCTATTGTTATCAGCAATATTGTCGAAGACACTATATACCTAAAATGCAAGGATTCTAAAGAATCTCAATCCGAACATTTCAAAATATGTATATTTCGAGGTGTTACAAACGGAATGACAAATTTAATATACCCTCCATACTATGGTGGAGGGTATAAAAATGGGAGATATAACGACGTTTTGAAAGTTTACTACGTAAAGTAACCTATATATAGGTTATTTAGTAACCTATATATAGGTTACTATGCGTAGTGATCTTTCAAAACGTCGATATATCTCCCATTTTTATACCCTCCACCATAGTATGGATGGTATATTAAGCTTGGCATTCCGATTGTAACACCTTCAAATATACATTTTAGACCCCACAAAGTATATATGTACGTTTTTGATCAGCATAAAATTATATGCCGATTTAGCGAAGTCCGTCCGTCCGTCTATGGAAATCACTCTAGCTTCCGAACGAAATGAAGTAGATTGATAAAATTTTACTCAAATGTATGTTCTGTCTGCATGCCTTTTGGTATTGAAAATGAGCCACGTAGGTCCACGTTTTGGTATAGCCCCCATATAACGGTACCTCCCGATATTCGGTATTTTGATAATTTTAGCGACATTATTCGCCGAAATTTTTTCAAATTTGGTATTTGAAGTTCGTAACGGATAATACAGCCTATAACTGAAAATTGTCCAAACAGGTCCACGTCTTCGTATAGCCCCCATATAACGGTATCTTCCGATATTCGGTGCTTTGATGATT